AAACACGGTCGTCCGTGTTTGATATATTACAGCTGAACATGTACTTTGAACCCAATCACGTAACATCTATGTTTTACTTACTGCAAATAATGTCCAAGGCACAATGTGTAATGTACGGCATGATGTTGAAGACACCCTTCTTAACATTCCTCTGTTAACAAAAAGGTCACATAGATAGAATGTCATAGGACTTCACATACCCAGAATGTCATAGTCATATAAATACACAGTCATATCAGTAGATCTATGGAATGTCACATTTACAGTTAAGCAGCTACTGCACACAACCAAATAGTTCTAATTTTTTTGCCACAGAACAGTCAGTCATGCACTGTCATAATTTACATCTATTTCCCAAAGATAAAGAGAAACAAACAAACATTCAAAGAAATCAAGGCGAATGTTACCTCTAGGTGTGAAACCAGAATTGCTGCTTGTTCTTCAAACACTTGTATAAAGCTATTTAAAATTGTGAAGTGAAAAGTTGGTGTGATCAATCTTCTTCGTGTCTTCCACTTTGCACCATCACTGAAACGGGAAATTTTGCGTGTTTAAGAAAAAAAAGAAAAGAAAGACAGAAAGAAAATTAAAAGAACACATAAACAAGGGCCTCTACAGTCCTTTCTCTTGCAGTATTAGTGTATAAGTAATGCATTTTGTTGGTAATTAAGATGATGATTTTGCTTGAAGTGTGAAATTTAATACACTAACTACATGTACCAAGCAAAAAGGAGCTACGTGTGACGGTTTGGGAATCTTGAAAAGTTAAGCCTAAATTTTTCAGTTTCATCATTTGTAATCCATGTTAATCTTCTGCATCCTTAACCATCCTTGTTCCTTTATGTGTTTATTATTATCTCTATGGTGTTTTTCTATCTTAGTACATTAGATACTAATTTTTAGCTTTCCTTCAATTTAAAGGTAATTTTATACATTTAACAATAAAGATTAGCGAAAAAACTGAGCAACGACATTTCGGTGTCATCCTGGCACCATAAGAATTTTATACATGGCCAAAATAACTCAAACACTATGACCGAGCTCCTTTAACATGTAGAGAAATAACTAGACATTGTTCAAAGAAATTTTAGTTAATAGATAATAGGATTCTATGATTAGAACAACTAAACTAGAGATTATTTGCTACATGTATATCGATTTCTATGAGGTGAAGGTTGATTCTACCTTTGGTCTGTATCAGCTGATAAACGCACAGCCTTTGGCTCAAAATATAAAATCAATATACCGTAATACAACTATTACAATTCACGTGACAGTCAGGTTAGTAACCGGTATGCATTGCACGTGGCTTTATGATTATCACAAAATTTTGGGTAATTGGCCAGCTCTATTTCAGTACATTTACATATTTAAAAGTACTTACTGTCCTTGTGAAATTTGCATAGTCTGATTTCAAGATACTTATATTAGGAGGTATTGCATCACCAAAACCATAGTCAAACCTGAAACAAGTCTGTGCATGTGCAATAAGGTAATAGAAAGAACATAATTATGTGGGAACCTACCTGGTCAATAATCCTTTTTTTTTTATGGAGGAAGCCAGAATTGATAAAAAAAACCCAAAAACAAAGAAACAATAAGAAGAAAAAAACAAGAACAATTAAAATTTTGTTAGGCCTGGTCCAAATGCCAGCTCCACTCATGTGCCAAAACAAACTTGATTAAGTTCGACTTTAGAGCACCTTTGGAGCGACGGCTGGTTCAGATGGCATACTTGCGTCGAGCTTAATTCGGGAAGCCGGTGGTAACAATTTTTGACGAGAAAATATGCGCTCTGAATTCACAAACTCTGTCCAAATAGAAAAGCTGTGACTAACATTTCGCTGTTATGTGCTGTTATAGCAATATTTAGGGAAGCAAATTCAAACTTAAGGTTCAGTGTTTTCTCCTGGTTAAATCGACTTGTTAAAGGGAAATCTAATCAGCAAAAAAATGAATTTGCGCTAAAGAAACTCGCTTATTCAGTATTCAGTCCCATTTCTCATAAATCAAAGGCATACTGGTATTTTGTTGTCTTTATTTTTAGCGACAACTTTGAGTTTCGTGCATGACTTGATCACGCCATTCAATTTTGAGCCAATCACGAGTCCTGTTATATGAAAAATAAATTGCAGCAATTTATGCATTAGGTTCAACACATGGGGAGAACGCTGTATGAATCAGCTGCCGCTCCAACGTCACATAGCGCGACAGACCAATGTCACATAGTGCAACAGAACCTGCCGAATTTAATGTTGTTTGCCGCACCAAACCTAACCTGCCAAACCAAACTGATTCAGATGCTGCTCTTCAGTCGTACTTAACTCATCAGTTAGGTTCGACGCATGAATGGAGCGGCATTTGGAATGGGCCTTAGTGAATATCTTTAAAGCAAGCTTAAGGGTAATGTAAATATCTTTGAAAATTATTAAATTTGGTTAATATTAAAAATTTCAAAAATGGTCAGTGACAGCATAAATTATGAGAAAAGCACAAGGGAGGTCAACTGTCAGTCATTCCAACATCCTCAGCTCCCTGTGATCTCAATTCCTTGCAGTGGTATTTACATACATGTTTACAGGACAGGTACAATGTAAACATGTACACAAGTTTTGTCACGCCTCCCCTTTGGGGCTTTTCAGGAACAATAACTTTCCACACATTACCAAAATTGAACTATCAAATAAATATACCGGTACATTAAAATGATGAAAAAAATATAGGGGTACAATAAAAAGTCATAAGACAACATATTGGTAGTAAATTTACAGTATATATTATATACAATCATGTACATGTTAATAAAAAATCCAATAATTATGAACTTCATTTTTAAACGAATTTGGTTAAGATGCTTAAAGGAGCTAGACAATGTAGAGAAAGCAGTATACTGTAGTTAGTATTTGACCTGAGTCTGCCATAAATTCAAAAAAAAAAAAAGGAAAAAGAAAACAATAAATTAGAATAGTCTAGACTCACCAGTTCCTAGCCAGGGATGTACAAAATCATAATCTGCAGACTTGGTTGTATGTTTTGGGCTATTCAAAAGAATCTGAAGAAAGAGAAGAAACAAACAAATGTTAAAAACATTTCATTCACCAATTAAATAAATACAGTAAAACCCTGCTCTAGGGACACCCGCTTAATACGAACACGCGCTTATAATGGACAGTTTTCTTTGTCCCAACAACTATAAATCTCATACATTTTCTCTTAGGTTAATAGCCTGCTTATTACATACACCCGGATAATGCAGACACTTTATCATGTCCCTTTGGTGTCCGTATTAACGGGGCTCCACTGTAATTAAATATCCATCAAATAAGAAAACCCAGAAAAGACTGGGCAGTGGGGGCGGGGGGGGGGGGTAAGGCAGGGGTTCCATTTTGAGTAGTTGCATAAAATTCTACTGGGGAGGGGAAGGAGGAGGGCTATCATAACTAACAGAACATCAGCTCCTTTTAAGCCCTTGAAGAATCACAACCAATCAAAAATAACACTCAGCTTACACATTACCATGGGTCAGTTAGTGAGGCCTATAATTTCTAAATATCTGAGACATTAAAAGTTAAATTTCAATTTTGTATTCTGCATCTTGTACTGGTAATTTAAATCAGTAGACATGAATGTATAAATTTTCTCTTTCAATTAAAGAAGATGACATCACCACTGGCTAATTAGAAACTTTGATACAGAGATATCCTGAAATCAAGCCACAAAAAAGAGGCAGCTAATGTATAAAATTCAAACAGTGATGCATAACAAAATGTGATTATAATTATGATAATTATATTAAGTAGAAACTATTATGTTATCAAAAACAAATATTTTATAGTTCTAAACTCAAATCATTTAAAGGGCTGATTGTCGCAGCTGTACTAACCTCTATCAATTCAGGTTTATACATAAGCACAAAAGGATAGAATGGACCAACCCACAGACAATAAATTCCGCCATAATACTGCTGTGCCCATTGCAAGATTTGTTTTAGGAGTCCTGAAAGATAAGAGACAATTGAATGCATCAAAAAAGTGCACTACATGACTGTAACTTTAAAAGAACAAATAAATAAATAAACTGCACTATATCAACCCTTTTAAAAAATTCATAATTCCAGTCAAATTGATGTAAATTAATGCATGAGTTTTCTTTGCAAAAATATGCATGTCCTCACTTAATATATACTGGAATAACATGGGAGAATGGGTTTATATTTTTAAATGCTGATTTTCTCTTTCTTGGGACTCTTCTGAGGTTAGAAATGACTCTAAATCAATGTTTTGGCTAGTTTACCTGACCTTCTGCAAGAAATTAAAAATTAAAATGAAAGTCAATATGGCAGACTCATCTACTTTTGACCACACCATGAGACCTGAGTTTTCCCTTTTTTTTTCTTTTTTCATTACTCATTTTTACGATGTACATGTAATTGCCCTGGGTTAGGAGCACAGATTTGAATTATTGCCTAGTATTTATCAAATAGTTGCTGCTTTTCCTTCTTTGGTTTATTAAATTTTGTGTATCTATTATGAAGCAACATTTTTTTTTTTTTTTATTTGTCTTATCTATAGTAAAGTAACGTTACAGTATTTCTTGCCTACCACGCTTATTTTGATTCATTTGGCAGTTAGGAAGTTACCTTCAGCTGGTTCAAACATAATTTATCAACAAGATCAAAAACTGATTAGTATATGGGTAATCATGTGAATGCATTAGTGCTGAATCGAGGATTTACACTGTGACGAGAGTTATTTGAGAATCCTCTCAAAAGTGCACAAGCCTTTAGGTGAGTACAATTTGAAAGAATTTTCAAATATCAAATTAGTAGCGTAAATTCTTAATTACTCGAGCTTTCATATGATCACTTGTTTATTATTTGACTGAGGAAATATGTATGGGCAAATCAATTTGCACTGCAGTGCAAGCTAAAAGTTAATGATAAATTGGCCTGCTCTCAGCTACTCACAGTGGAGCAATTTTCTCAGTCACACAATAAGGGTGCATTCCTTTGGGGTGTCCAGGATCAGGATTAGTGATCTACAGTAAGCTGAGGCAGACCATGGTAGTCATTCAGCCAAGGAATTGACGTATCCACCCTGGTCACAGATTCATCCGGTTCATTTGACGCACAATGATCTTAGTGATCTTGGATCGCTGATCCTGATCCAGATCTACCCAAAGGATTGCATCCTAAGTGTGAAATTATTTGGCCTACAACATTCATGTGCCCATTCAATTTACGTATAGGACAATCTTTGTTTACAATATTTGCCACATTACCATAAGCGATACAGTTTCTGATGGAGCTACAAAGAGATTAACACTGAATATTGAAAGGGCACAACACGATTAACTGTCCCAAGGAATTTGAGCGCGATGTATTGAATACTTTTTTGTGCGACTAGCGAGTTTAAAAGCTCAAAATTTTAGACTATATGAGCTCATTAGTGCTTTTGCCACACAGAAATTTTGATGTTTTTGAAAGCCAATTTCTCCTCGAATATAATACACCCAAAGAGCCAAACATTTTACCACTTACTAAGTTTCACAAGCTCTTTAAGTTTTACTAGTAAGATCGTGTCTAGCATGATGCCTTCTATGCGCAAAGTCGTATGTTAATGAGGAAAAATCTGGGAAAAATGTAAACAATGACGTCAGCAAAGATTTGCCTATATGAACTGATTCGGCAATGCAGCTGCACTCGATAAAAGTCTTTCACTTACCGTCAGGAGTACTCGGCAACTGCATAGCATTGCCAAATAAAATGTTGGGTCTTGGACCAGGAATCTTCCTCACAACAGCAAAAGCTTGATACTTTGAAAGCACTGCTATTGTCAACAACACAACAACGGCCACCAGCGAAGAAACAGCCAACATCAAAAACATGATCGATCCTTCGAGAGGCAAAATTTACTTTCAATTTCTGATCTAGGAATAGGATATCCCAAGTTACGTGTCAATTATTATTAACTAGTCAGAGCAACGTGCAGTGCAGAGCTAGATGGTTCTAATGAAACGAAGAAGGAAGCTCGGCATAAGACTGTAGATTTCTTGACCTTGAATAACCTTGAGCACTAGATGACTCAGCGAAAATTAGGAAGTTGACATACTGTCGCTATCTGATACGAAAACCCTGGAACATGATAAGGCATAACATAACCTCGAATGCCATAATTTGCAAACTCTCAAAATAGCTCCCAAATAAGAGAAAACTAGGACGCATTGCTCACTTATT